GTGCTTCTCAGTAATTCTTTGTGGTGTTAACTAAGACCATCTCTAAATAAGCCATTGTGAGTTTGCAAAACAACATTTCTGATTAAACTTTAAAAGTCAAATATCCAAAAAAAGATCAGCACAAAATACAAGTCAATTCTAGACTGAACATTTTTTAACATGTTTTAGAGATGATGCTGATATGAAAGAGAATGTTGATAGATAAAAAGATGGTATGTTAATCTTGCCAGTAATAATATTAGCACCCTACTGAGCTTTTTCAGCCTACTATCTTACTCACACATACTAAGGAAAAAAAATATTCCTCTTAATTAATATCAGAACTGTTGCATATCTATGCAGAAATACTAGTAAAATATTGTTTACCTTCATATTTTTTTTTTCTTTTGAATCATCTACCATAAGTTCAACTGCAGACAACTTTCAGTTTCAGCCTAATTATTTTGTTTGCCATATAAGGATATTACAGCCTTATTTGAAAAACATAAACATATCATATTATTAATGTACATTTATATTTCAAATATGGCATAGCAAGCCTTATTCTGAAAATGAATAACACAAGAATCTCATGTTATCTGTCAGGGTGGGAAAGTATGAATAGCATATACATTTCAATTTACATGACAAAAGTTTAATAACTTTATCATTATTTAAACTTACTTTAAAGATATTAATTAAGTAGAACTTGCTGCCACCATTAAAGAATGCTGGTGACCGAACTGATGATGCACCCCCCACAAAAAAAACCAACAAAAAACATTGCACATTTATCATGGATGAAACCCAAGTTATAACAGTAAATGATAGTGACATCAGAGGGTAAGCCAAATTGTCACAACGAAAATGTTGTGCAGAAGTAAAACTTAAACAAATTGTCTAAATAATTAGAATAGAATATAAATTAACAATTTGGATTATTGTATAATTTAAGGAAATCTTAATAATGGATAAGTTCAGCCCAGGTGGATTGCACAACCGTGTGCAATTTAAATTATGATCGATTCATAATAAACAAAATTCAGTAATAAAAAGAGATGAACGAGCTCAATATTATATTATATAATATAGTGACTACATGTTTTCTACTGAAAGAAGTGAAATTTTAATGCGTCTGAACTCGGCTACAATGACAGACGACTTACACGTCATACCCCCCCCCTATCCCCATGTAAATTCTATTGCGCATTGCTATTCTCTATAAATTCTTACGTTGTGGTTCTATCCTAGGCATTCTATCAATCAGCTGCTTCTTTTGGGACTTTGTCAGATGCTGAACCTGCCCTTTTCCAGCCTTTGGCTTCACAGTTGTCCAGCCGGTAATACTTGCCATATTGTAGTCTTGTGGCGGATATGACGTTGACATAAGTGGCCGTTCAAAAACATTCGCAATTTCGTTCAGAGAAAAACCAAAGGCATTCCGATGATTGGGCTCCGAACCCACAAAATCCCTTAAAGGACCAACAAAAATATATTTTTTTTAACCCCCCCCAATAACACAAACAAAACAAGCTATTAGATTTTGTCACTTGCACAATTAATGATTGGTTTAATTTTTAGATGCCCGGACCCCAAATTATATGTGCAGTTCATTACATATTCCTTGGCTGGAAATTTCAATGTTTGAGGTACGCTTCATATAGACCAACAAGTAGGTCTCTGCTTTATTTTTGCTGCTGTCAGAAAAAAAAAAAAATCTGAGATCTACTTGTTGGTCTACACTTTATATTGTAGTCTAACGCTACATCCCACTTTGTTTGTACCCTTTACTGATTTCAATAACTAAAACGTTTAGTGTGATAAAAAGTGCACAAAACTAAGTCAACTGAATCATTGATTTATAATTTCTACCTAAATGTGACCAGAATGGAATTATTACTCTAATCCCATTGTACCTTTCATGCTTAACGGACTTCCCATACTAACACGGAGCCATATTCCGTACACTATGGGCTAGTTGTTTTTTTTTTCTTCTCTCCATATGACAACATAATGACATAGTTCATCTTATTCAGTAACTGCCGGATAATTCCGTAAATTATCATAACGTTGTGTTTAAAATTATATTTCTTTGCACAAGTGAATATATTAATTAAACCGTTTGCTAAATCCACGTGAAGTGCAAACTTCTTGTCATTATTTTCCTTTGCTTGATTCGACATCGTAAATATCGGAAGCAGACGACACACACACACACACACACACACACACACACACACATACACACACACACACACACACACACACATATATATATATATATATATATATATATATATATATATATATATATATAGAGAGAGAGAGAGAGAGAGAGAGAGAGAGAGAGAGAGAGAGAGAGAGAGAGAGAGAGAGAGAGAGAGAGAGAGAGAGAGAGAGAGAGAGAGAGAGAGAGAGAGTATTGCATACACCTCTTTGCTGAAAATGGACTTGTCCTGAAACTGTAAATGGGTCTCAAACATGTCTGAAAACTTTTGTTAGGCACGTAACGCAAAGACAATGACGGTGTTGGGTTATTCTACTCAGTCAGGTTAGAAAATATAAATCAATGAATTAATTGGCTAAGTTCCTTTCACTTTGTATCACATTAAAAATTTCCATTATTGAAATCAGATCAGTTGGGGGTGGGTAGAAATAATACGAATTAATGTAATCGGACTGATATTTAATTGACTTGAATTATTTATGATGGCAATTTTTGGTTATCGGAGGAATACATTATACTGCGTCATCATCATCATCGTCATCATCATCATCATCATCATCATCATCATCATCATCATCATCATCATCATCATCATCATCATCATCATCATCATCATCATCATCATCGTTGTCATCGATATTATTATTATCGTTATTGTTGTTGTTGTGTATCCATTTGATGCAAAAATATTGCAGCAGATTTTAAATTACAAACTCTTTGCAGCATTGAGGTTAATATAACTAATTTTGTGATGAATATTGCGCACTAGTTTTACAAAGATGTCAGTAGTTATATAAGGATTGTTACGAATCTATGAACTTAGTAAGAAAAAGAGCGAAAACGAATAAGTTTTGCAAAATTCAAAATATGATTATCTTTTACAACCAAAAGTGAAAAATTAACAAGAACTTACAGAATAGTAAATTTAATCAGTAACTTCTAAAGTTCTACCATAAGTAAAGAGTAGCGAGTATTTCCAAATGAGTCCCAGTAGTATTCCGAATAAAGTTGACTCTGATAGTTTTGAAGTATCACAAACGATATAATCAAAAATATTTTTAAATGAACTCACAGTAATTCCAAATCAACAAAAAAAGCAAACAAAAATGGATGATACTCGAATATTCATTCTATATCATTCTATCTCCTAAAACCAGGTCAAGTAATGTAGCTGCTAGCCAATTAGGAATTAGGTCATCCTGGTTTTTCAAGAAAACTGATGACCTGAATTCAAATCGGTAATTGTGCTTATTGCAGCAAAATTATCGCTCAGTATTTTGAAGAAACAAATGTGTTTACTAAAATGACCTTATCTTAAAGTACAAATTCATGATCATAAATAATATTAGTATTGAATATGTTATTTACTAAATGACCCTTACACTCGTAATCATGAAAATTAACACACATAATATAGATATACATAACAGGATATTGGCGATCAAACGAGAATTTACAATGTTAACATGCGGAAAACATCTGGTTCCTAAGGGAAATCCAGTTTTAAAATTGTCCTTATTTGTAACATTGTGATGGTGTTATTGGGTAAAATTTCATAGGATCAGCATTTATGGACATAAACGAGAATCGTGACTTTACAAAAGTAGATGTTATGCAACATCTGCTTTGATATAGCTCTTCAAACACCCCTGCCGTCGAATGAGGAGGATTGGGGTGTTATAACACCTTATACTTCATACATATAAACATACTGTGATGAAATTAAATAACTGGGGAGTGTTATGCTTAATGATAGTGGCAGTTATATTTTCCCAAAGTATTGGTTCAAACAATTTGAGTGGTCAGTCACAACAGAAGGATCTGGCTAAGGGCAGCGCTGCTAGGGAGTGCGATAACCCTTATCTGCTTTTGTGTGTCAAGTATCAGGTTTCAGTTAGAATGCATTAAGGGCTGTGAAGGTGGTTTTGATAATATTCACAGACTTGAGAGGAAAGGGTGCTTTCCGTATGGAAGGATTAATTGGATTTTCTCTCTCTCTCTAATTCTAAGGGATAGTTAGACTGTAATTCTGCAGGGAAGTAGGAGTTTTCTTGTGTAATGTAGCGCTAGGGTAAACGAGGGTATGTGGTGTAAATTGTAAATAAACATGTACATAGGTGAATTATTTCGTGGATTTGTTTTTGAATCCATCAATACTCTCACACAAGAAGAGAGTAGAATACAGAATGACAGGGATGTGAAACAGACATAAACACTCACATGAACATGATATGTTGTCATACAATGGTAGGAATGTTTATAGACACACTATTACACCCTTTCAAACAAACATGCAATCACATAGAAGAAAGAAAGAGTTTTACGTTTAAGTTGATAACATATGCACAAAACATACATAAACATAAACTATCAAATGATTAACATCTCTCTTTTTAGGAGAGCTAGGTGGCCCTCCAAAGGGTCATTGAGTGTCTTCCATTACTCTACCTCACCAGTGGTCTCAAACCCTGGTCGGGCATCGCAGGTCGCACTTCGTTGTCCACAGCTGTCTTCATTTCTCCTCCGAGTTGCTTTCGTGGAGACCACGAATCTGAAATTTGGATTGCTGGCCTGCTTCCACCAATCCTTTTTCTTATCATCAGGTTTCCAGTAGTTTTCTCCCATTTACCGCATAATTTCCTACACTCTAGTCCAAACTCGGTTTGAGACGCTTCCTTCTCGCATGGTCATCAACCCTCCTTCCTTTGCTCATCTTCCATTGATATTTTAAATTTCTTCTTCCATCATACCTCTTACGAAGTCATTAGTGATTCTCAGAGAAGTGATTTCGACCGCTCCGATGGCCTAGTGGTTTGAGCGTCCGCCTCGGATGTTGAAGGTCGTGGGTTCGATCCCAGCTACATATCTGCGGCATGATGCCCAAGTGCTAGACATATCTATATTCTGCTTCACTGCAGACATCGTAGCGATAAGACAGAAAATTTGTTAATGCTACGTTAACAATCCAAATCACACACACACACACACACACACACACACACACACACAAGCGCACGCGCAAAAGTGATTTACCTTTGTAAGTGCCGCTTGAGGGGTAACATTTTATTTCTTCCATCCGAACATGTGGTTGCTGCATTCTCTCCATCATAGGTATCACGCATTAACTTCCCTACATAAAGTGTTGAGATGTGGCTGTTATTATATTTCTTTTTCTTGACTCAGGTTACAGTAATCTTTCCAACAAGGGAAGGCTTGTTTGCCCTCTTTTGTTCTCCCGTTTTAGGTATGCGCTGCTTTGTTACAGAGGACAGTGTTTTAGCAATATTTTCGTTAAAGACGTTAACACTGTAGTCATATAGTATAATAATCTCCATTGCCTTGTAGACTGAGCGAACTTGGATTAGAGACTTGTCTGGTCATTAATCCAAGTAGTCCAGTTAAAGTGCAATTCGTCGCCTTAATTGTATGCACCGCACAGTATGTAAATTGTTCGTCGTATGGAAAGTGCGAATTTGAAGCCTTACTGTATGTACTGCATACTTCATAGCTTAAGTGTCTGGGAGCTGAAAAGGAGAAGTCCGACTGGAGTACCAAAGCGGCAGCGGAAACCATACTAAAACGCCACGACTATTATATCGATCAAATTCTGCCCAATTTCTCTAATTTGGGCTAATCCTTACAACCAGAAAGAAATAACAAATACATTGTAATTAGACTTAATCTAGTCAGTTGACATTTTTCTACTTGTATTTCTTTTATATATTTAATATTCAGAAAAGAAAATAAAACAATTATGTATATAGCATCAGCAATGACAAAGGGAAAACGTTTTTCCGATTTGGTACACGGACTAAAGAAAAAGATCTGAAGGTGTAATATAGAATACAAAGTCAGGAGAAATTGCGCGGAGCTAACAAAAACTCTTTATTTCTTGTATGGAGTAAGTTTAACATTAGACGAAGGTAAGTAAGTGCTTTTAATACATATACACTGCTTGGATACGAGATATAGCTTTAATTCCTAATACAAAATAATATAATAATCCAGGTTTGAGACCCGACGATGTAAGAATATGGAGGGCGATGACGTCAGATATAGTCGAATGTATGAATATCAATAATTTCCCACTTGAATCACAATCTTTGTTTCCGAATAATTCTAGAATAAACTTCCATAAATATCTTTCAGAATCTTTTTCTTATAAGAAAGTCAACTTGTTAAGTGTCCAGGAGAATAAATTATTGAATCCAAATAATCAGACGAAGAATGAAATATTCTGGCAACAAATTAAAAATAATAAACCTTGTACTTTCAAGGTTTTGAATTACTCTGCTCGAAAAAATATATAGAATGCGTATTTTAAGAAAATTATTGAAGATATGTGAACAATATGCATTAGAGAATGATATCATCTATAATACACAAAAATCAGTATGCATGGTCTTTTAGCCAACTTCTTTTAAATTACCATCACCTCCCTCTGTACATCTTAACGGCAATGCTTGTACGTATGTCGACAGTTATATGTATTTGGGCCATATTTTGAAATCCAATCAGACAGATAATGAGGATATGATGAGACATTATCAATATTTGTGTACTCGAACAAACATGCTTCTACGCAAATTTAAGCCTTGTTCATTGAGTATCACAATTAGATTATTCAAATCTTATTGCTTCACTATGTATTGTGCTCCACTATGAACAAACTTTAGTGAAAGTGTGAAAAGAAATCTAGTAATTGGTTATGATAATAGTCTTCGCTTTCTATTAGGTCTTCCTAGATGGAACAGTGCCTCCAACATGTTTGTAAATTATAATGTATTCAGTTTTGAGGAAGTAATGAGAAATTATGTGTTCTCAATGATAACAAGACTATCTAATAGTGAGAACTGTATATTAAAATCACTTTGAAGCCATGACATTCATTTAAATTCTCATATTATTAGTAGATAGAACAAATTACTCTTTAAATGTGTCACTTAACTTCATTTTTTAACAATGCAGGGTGCAATTAATTGTTGTAAATGTAAATATACTTGTACATATGATATATATGTTCTTTTATGTTTACAATGTTTTACTCTATATCCGTATTTTAATTTAGATGTATGGACTAGGTAGTCTGAAATAAAGAATTCTTATCTTATCTTATCTTTAAACTCAAAACATCGCTTCAAATCTCGCGAGATTGTTCATGTAGTCTCTTACTACGCTAATTTTCACACATAGGCCAATGTCACTCCACTTAAAAACCAATCATATAAAAGGTTGTTTACAAACAGTGATCAGGCGAAGAAAGTATGTCCGTGATATTGACCAATCATGTTAACTTCCTGTTGATAATGTTACCAGGGTAAGACGGACTCGATGATAATACTCAAGTATTACTATTTCGTCTTAAGTAAACAACTTTGTGATAAAAAAATATATCTCACTACTAAAAATAGAATCCCAAATCCGCGAAAAATATTCATTGCAGTTAAATACAATGAAACACAAATGAAATAAAGAGAAATTTTAACCTTTCTCACAAGTAATTTAATCACATATACGTAACAGTATGTTGTTGAACAAGGCCAGCCTCTAATTTACATACCACACGCCGTGAAGTTATTTCTTCTTGAGGCAATAATTCTTTTAATTGTGCGAGTTTGTTTGTTTGCTTGGGTTTTTATGTAATATCTAAGTCTTTGTCCACTGGAAGTCTATACAACACTGCAGCGTTGTAAGCAGAAGTCGTGGCATTGAAATTCTCGTTCGTTGTGGGAAGCAGATCAATATATAACAAATCGAATACTTTCAGAATAATCAACCCTCCTGTATCATACCACTGGTGATAACGTCTATGTTGTAAAGGATACAACTGTATTTTGCGTTTCAGTTGAATCTGTGCGATCTTTCTGTAAATGCTTACTCATAGATAAGGAGCCAAACCACGGATTGCTGTAGTATCTGACAAGAGAACCATATTTCGAACGACCAAAGGAAGACAGTAACATTACGGAGACAATTTGACATGGTAGAAAAAAACCTGCTCTGGCTATAGAATCAGGATCCAAATATTTAGGTCGTATACCTTTGAATGAATAGAATCGACTTTAAAAGTTACAATAGCGAGACAAAGACATAAGAAACATGGATCTGTGTTTGATTTTTACATCTCGATGAACTAGTTATATGTATGCTAGTTTCCGAGTGTATGGATAAGATCTCTATGTAGGTATCCCTATGTATGTACATGCTGGGCTTTATCGCATTTCACATTTACTCATTTCTGGTAGACGATTTCATAAACTTTTCAAGAGGTTCAAGGACGATTTGTGCAAACGTACTTTTGTATGGATGCAATGTTATCACGCAAAAATGTTCATCTTGCCCAGACTGCAACGCTTCTTTTAACACGTCTAAGTTGCCTATTTGACTGGAATCATTGTTCAGTGTTAGTCCTTTGAATTTACATTTGAAATGCAATTGTCGATGCCGGTCTCTGTTTACGGTATTCGTAATTCTTTGGGCCAACGGAAGCAAATCTCACAACAGTGCTTTCTGGGTGCTCGTCAGTCCATGCTCATAAACGATCGTCTTACATGTCAGGGTGGTTACGGTGATGGTGATCTATGTAAGTGCAAATGTCGGTGTCTAAACAGAACACTTGATATCCTAAACGTTCCACGGCATCACACAATCTTAAAAGAGCATTGGCTTTCAAGTACGATGCAACGTCTAGATTACAAACGCCATCGCTTATTCGTAATTCACCAAGACAAGGTCGTTGTGGATGATTTCCACAAATTTTAAAGCAGTGACATAGATTTGCCAATTGTTCTGCCCTAGGTAAGATTAGACGTTTCCACACCAATAATTCAATATGACTTTGGTAAACGATCATCTTTATTCGTTCCTTTTTACTTGTTCTAAAGTAATGCCTTCTTGAGTTCTGTTCCATTTTTGAAACTGCCTTAGTCCTCTGGAGTCTGACTCCAATAAGGATAACAAATATATTCCTGCTTCAATTTTATTAATTCATTGCCTTTGCCGGATAGAAGTCATGGATTCTGATCGCAGTCCTTTCAGTATTTGAATGTGGAAGGAAACTTTAAAAGTGCCAAATTTCATATACTTTTCAGTCATTATTCAGGATGTAGCGTACAAAATAATTCAGCAATCACCCACTTTTCCTGTCAGAGTGCGTTCTTCATTCTTGTCGCAACGAAGTCGATTTTGATTACATTTTACTGGACCACTCTGGTGGCCTAATGGTTAGAGCGTCCGCCTCAGATGCGGAAGATCGTGGGTTGGATCAACGGCTGAGTCATACCAAAGACTTATAAAAATTGTCAAAACAGCTGCCTCACTTGGCGCTCAGCATCGAGAGATTACTGTTAGGACTGGTCAGCCTGGTGTCAGGATAATCTGATTGGGTGGGACATCATTGTACATGTCTGCGTCATGATTCCTCAGTGCTAGACATCACTATAAACAGCCATACTGCAGAAATCGTAGCGATATGACTGAAACATTGTTAAAGCTACGTTAAAAATCCAAATCACACACTCACACAATATATATATATATATATATATATATATATATATATATATATATATATATATATATATATATATATGTGTGTGTGTGTGTGTGTGTGTGTGTGCACATTACCTACATTAAGAGGAAAACCCCATGTTTGCACACCTACATTAGGAGGACCACCAACATTAGGAGGATATCCTCCTAATGCTTCCTTCTAATGTATGTGGTGTAACATGTGAAAATATTTAAATGTTGGAATTTTGGAGATTCATGAGAGTGTATCATAATAAATTATAGTCGTATCGGCATGGCGAAAATCGTGGAATGATATGATAACAGTTAAAAAAATGTGTTTAAAACAATTTTTGTGCTATGTTGTAAGATATTCATTAGGAGGACCTGATTAAAACTCGTTGAAGTCATTGCTGGATGGACTTGTTAAAAATATCCCAAATAGCAAGAACTAGGTATTTATTATTATTCTAAGATTAACACTAATTGTATTATAAATGAGTGAATACACACCTTGTTTGTGCAGTCCTCTCAACATTGGTGTGTAAACATGTCACTGATAAGGCCTCGCAATGTTGCGGTGTAAACATGCCACTTAATAAAACCTCACAATGTTGATGTGTCAACAGATTAAGTTTTGTAATTGCACAAATCGTACGATGTTTTAGTGCCAGTGGATACCTAGTTCAGCAAGTTGTATTTTACAAATATAGCCAGTAGAGTGCTGATGTTCTGTTAAAACTTCATACGTCTATAAATACATACCACCCTGCAGGTATGTATCAAATTACCTATAATAAGTATGAAGTTATGTATTTCGCATTGCATGTTCATATATTTAATTTTGCAAACGGTGTTTACAATGTTTCGAACATGCTGAATTTTTTTTCGGAAGTCTAGTGAATCTGTGCAGTATGGAGTGAACAAATCTAAATATAATTAGAGTTCGTGATAAAACACCGACCAGTATACTAATTTCAGTTCTTTATTGACGAAAAAGATTTGCAGACCAAGCCCAATATAACCATTGTACGCATGTTATTTTCATCATTTGCATATATCCATGATAAAACACAGTTTAGACTACTTTCTCGTAGCTGGTCAAAAGTAAACGTTTTTGCAAAATAAAAAATTTCAAGACCTGTTTCGAAAACAACATTCTGAACTACGCTGACCAAACCGCGACTCAACGGGTGCAATCTGACAGCCTTTTTAAGTACAATGAAATGCAATATAACTGCTTTTTAACTCGTTTTTATTGCAAGTACATGATGTTATAGAATAATACTAAGGCATATCTTTGCAGAGATCCAGAGTAAAACTGATTAAGTGAAATAATGTCCTTAATTGTAAAATTTCAATCTTTTTTATGAGAACTATAAATACAATTTATTTTTTGTACCATTATTATTATTGGTCTTCCTTTTGTATATATTTCATATCCTCATCCAATGTTTGACCAAATAACAGCTATTCTTCACAATACTTTGGTCTTTAGATGTAAGCAACGAGAACAGTCGTTATTTTTCTGTTAGATTTAAAAATGGTTTAATTCACAGTGGTACAGTAGTATTAAAACTTGCAAGAAAGTATGACTTTGGAAATAGTGGTACGCACACGCATTTCATTTGACTGTTAAAGTTGCACCTGTCTTCGATTGCCCAGATGTCACTTTTAAGTAGATATAAATACAAACATTTGAAGGCTGGTGTTTAAAACATTCTATTTACAAAAAAAGTTTAATTTCGTTAGCATGTTTATGGTTACTTTTTATTCCTAAATATAGTCGAACCTACCGTATAGGCCACCTCCGTTATGCGAGTACTTTCTATCAACTGTTAAATGTTTAAGGGTTTTGCATCAACCAGAAGATATTAATCTCTGTAAGTCAAGCATTTGTTTTCAGAGGAAATTGTCTCACTTCCCAGAGGTGGCTGCTTAAGAGAGGTTTTACAATATTAATCTATTAAGACGTAATACACAAGTAAAGCCATTATGGAAACAAACGTGTTTATTTTACACAGTAGAAAGAACAAGGTTCAACTACATGGAAATAAAATACATTACCACTTTCACTGCATCCAATGAAGGCAAAGCAAACATTTACCTGGTATATTTCTTTTTATTAAGTATAACTAAATCAATAATATTCTGGAAATGTCAAAGTTTACCTTCATGTAAATACTATCAAATTCCAAAGGCTCATGTCTAAAATCTAACTATCAATGTTCGGTATTGATGTGGGACCCGTTAGTGTAGTCCTTTGAAGTTTATGAGAAAAGCAATAACTCATATGATTAAATTATGTTTGTATTCTATATACCTCATAAAAAAAACTTAAGATTATGCATGTTAGTACAAACAATGATGTATTGAGCTTCTCCATGTTTATGACTTTAAACAATACAGAAGTGTTTCTGCAGTTTTCTACCCGGTAAAAGAGAATAATACCCAACATTTTATGTAAGCCCACTAAAATATTTATTGGTGAACAACTCTATTTCGCGTTGCAATGTGTCAATACAGTATAGTCTTAAAGAAAACTTTTAGAAATATCACATTTTTACCCAATAATAGTATTAAGTATATTATTTTACAGTATTGAATTTGATAGCTTTTAAATACACTAAGTTATTCTTGAACACATCAGAAATTATCTCGATATTATATAAACATTTTAAAAACTTAGACTGTTTCATATTTATTTAAATTACTTGAATAAATGGCATTTTCACTATACCAAGAAAACAAATATTGTTGAATTGCTAGAGTCCCAGTACAATATGTACTGTAATATTTATTGCTATTATAGCATAAGGAGACACATTGTTTTGGTACATTAAACTTCATTACCGGTACGTCGTCAATAGAACATATTTGATTTTCAGGCAGTTATAGAAACGTTTGATTACACCTTGTTTTGACATATCTATTGTTACATCTTTGACCAAAACTTTATTGCCACGACTTAAAGAAAACACCCGAGGAAGCAATGCAATTTTAGAAGTATACTTGTATTTAAATCTGCATAAGCTGCTTAGATGTCTAGTTCTTTACAGCATTTTATTTTACTTTTTGTGATGTGTGATAGGACAGGTTTAAATATATGGCAGAACCTTTAGTGTCATTGAAAAAAGATAAGTTTGACACGAAATTTTTCAGGTGCCCTTGTATGCAGATTTAGACGATTTGATTATATTGTGAGGCAATGATACAAAACTATCAGTTTTGGATACATTTGCATGGCTTTGAAAAATATTTCTTTGCTCTTTAGTTTCATGCTTATTTTGTAAGCACACATCAAGTATATTAGATATAGTGCTGAAAAAGACAACCTCACAAGATGAAAATTATGTTCATTTTGTTACAAATGCTGTCTTTTTAAGTTTTATTGTTACAAGCACATTCTTTCTTCACTTGAAAAACAAGATTTTGCCAACCTCTACCAGCCAACAAAGTACATTTTCTCAAAACATCCTGACTCTCTCTCTCTCTCTCTCTCTCTCTCTCTCTCTCTCTCTCTCTCTCTCTCTCTCTCTCTCTCTCTCTCTCTCTCTCTCTCTCTCTCTCTCTGTGCTAGGAAACGTGTTTCAAATGCTGTTAAGAGTGCATCTTTTTCTTTCTTGGTTTCTTTTTCTCTCTAAAGAGAATATATATATATATATATATATATATATATATATATATATATATATATATATATATATATATATATATATATACATACATACATACACACACACACATACATACATACATACATACATACATACATACATACATACATACATACATACATACATACATACATACATACATACATACATACATACATACATACATACATACATACATACATACATACATATACACACATACACACATACATACACACATACATATACACATACATACACATGCATACACACATACATACACACACATACACACATACACATACATATACACATACAAACACATACACACATTATATATTTAATTGCTTTAAGATGGATTTATGCTATAAGTAGCAAGAGGATATGGATATTCTGGCTCAAAGACCATTGCCCACCTCTGAACAAATCCAAATTTCCTCTCCGGAGTCCCTCAAAATCCTACCCCGACATGTTTTATCAAAAACGATGACGCGCTTTCTAGCTCAAATACAATTATATAATTGGTTTCTTCACAGATTAGCCAGAGACCCTTTCCTACCATCGCTTTGATATTCCCAAGTTTGGAAATAAAATTAATAAGGTTTCTAGCTCAGAGATCCTATCACTTTAGAAGATTTCTGGCTCAAAAACTCTAGGCGGTTTCACATTATCGATGTTGGTTCAGTCGACCAACTGGATTTCTAGGTCGTATTATAGACCTCATCGCCCACCATAAAGTGTTTCAACTATAGATATTAGATATATTTCATAATCGTGATAATAAAGACTGAACTTTATTATACCGCTTAGACAACGACGACATTCGAATAAATCTTTTATTTGTAGTTTGTTAAGAGGATAATTTTTATCAATGAATTAAACTTTCGATCGATCGAGGTCAATGGTAAGTTTAGTGTACTTTTCTTGACTGATTGGATTATGAAATTTATTAAATCACTTTGCTAACTCACGGTTTAATTTTTCGAGATAATTGAAATATTCGTTGTTATCAGATTTGATGAGCGAAAGCTTTGGCTTGTCACGATTACTAAAACATATTTCTGATTACTAATTTCAATTGTCAACTTTAATCCGTCTAGCGTTAGATATTTG